GGGGCGTGTCCTAACCATGGCGGCGTGAGGTGCTCGATCTGAGGAGCTCCGCGGCTTCAGAGTACCATCTGCACTCTTAATATAGACTTTACCCCACCAATACCCCGGATTGCGATATGTCAACCCGCAGGAAGGCTGGCGGATCCAACTCGCAGGTCTCCGACGCTTCGTTACAGCAGTTTTTCTCCCCGAGGAGCGCTGCCCCCATGGATCGAGGTAGGCCTCGGACGGCATCTTCCACATCTGCGCGTGTCCCGGCACACAGCACTCGCCGGCGGGGATCTCCTTCCCCGGATGCCTCCCGGCATGGCTCTGACTCACTGGAACCACCCGATCCAGACCCCCATGATGATGGAGCTGAACTGGCGGATGAATTACCAGCGGATGTACCGGAGGGGATTCGGGCCTTGCTGCGGTACCTCCCAACTAAACGGGACTTCGAGTCCATGGTGTCTCGGGTCGAGGCTACTCTTAGGAAGGACCTGAGGGAAGTGAAACGGGAGGTGAAGGCATTGGCTTCCACGGTAGCGGATGTCACGGTCACCTGCTCCACAATGGAATCCAGGCTCTCCGCACTTGAGTCGGCAGCCCTGCGGCCTGACCCCAGGCTCTCTGACCTGCAACTCCACATGGAGGATATGGAAGACAGAGGGAGACGCAATAATCTGCGTATCCGGGGTATCCCGGAGGCCACTGGCACCCCGGATCTGCGGGCCACGGTGCAAGCCATATTTGCGTCCATACTTGAGGCAGTGGAGCCGGCCACCATCATCTTGGACCGGGTTCACAGGGCTATAGGCCCCCGTCTCCCCAACGTGTTAACCCCACGTGACGTGGTGTGCCGAGTGCATTACTACACTATTAAAGAAGAGATACTCCGGGCTGCATGGCAACGTAGACCCGTCGAGTTTGACGGAGTACAGCTACAGATCCTTCCAGACCTGTCCCGCAATACTCTTAGGCGCCGGGCTATCCTCCGCCCGGTGTTGGATCAGATCCGCAGCGCCGGGGCGACGTACCGCTGGGGTTACCCGTTCCACTTGATAGTGAAGAAGGGGGAGTCCTCTTACGCTTTGGGGTTCTGGCGACACCGCCAACTAACACACTTTCTGGCGTCCTTTCATCCGCCAGTGGCAATGTCACGTACTCTCACAAGCTTTGAAAGGGAATGCAATACCACCGGCAAACTATCAAGATCCCTCTCGTTCTGTTACCAGCTCCTCTTAGCCCCGGATTATGAGTCACCTCTACCTTACATGGAGGGATGGGAGAAAGATTTGGGTATCTCCTTTACACCGCTTGAAAAAAATAGGCTGATATTACTGTCCTTGAAGTCGTCCATCAGCAGTAGATACCAGGAATCGGGATATAAAATCCTGACTAGGTGGTAC